ATTAAAATCTTTAATTCTTACTTTTAAAAAGTGTTTTAAAAGTGACAAGATGATTTCCTGTCGCTATTCTTTTTTTTTTAAATAAAGTTTTCTTAGCCCTTTTTGTATATTTATTTTTCCCTACAAACTTTTTGCATTGTGTACTCCTTGGGTAAAATTTCGCATACCTCAAATAGTTGGCAGTCCAGCAATGCTTGTCTTGTGGCTTTTGGTATACCACTTCCTGTGTTAGATTTCTGTGGGTCACCAGGAGACACCCCTCGGCAGTTAGATGGCTTCAACTGACACGGCAAGTTCTTCTCACCTTTGGGGCAGATTACTTCTCTTGAAGCTCTTAGTGGGGTAGAGATAGCAGATTGTCACAGCAATACTTACGCAGTTGATGCCTGACTCTTAGGGAGAGAAGTATTCAAGGAATTCATGGTTCTTCTCCTAGGGCCAGGCTTTTGTCAAGATTCTTAAAGATCTGAGCCTGTCCTCTGTAACCTGTTGGGCTCAGGAGAGATACTTAGTTGGCTTAGTGCTGGGACTGGAGATCAGCAGGAGTATCTTCAAGCTTCTATCCTTCCAAACCCTCTAGGCTAACCTCACTCCATTTCTGGTTTGTATTTTATTTCTTTTTAATTTTCATTTCAATTTAGTATGAGCTTTAAGTTACAGGTAATCAGTGGGATTAATGTACTGTATCCTTTAATTTTTTTTCTTTTTTGTGTTATTTGTTCATTTCATTATCAGATATTTATTAAGTACCGTGTGTATGGCAACATTTAGGCCTATGAAGATGTGTCACCCAGTCCTTGTCTTCTCAGCAGCATTTTGCAAAAAATTTCTTTTCTTTCTACTTAAAATACTTTCTTCACTTAGTATTTACATTTTCTAGGTTTTCATTTTCTTCATCTTTGGCTTTCTTCAGTTTCTTATGCTTGATTCTTTTCTTCTGGACCTCCTAAATGATGGACCCCCGGAGCATAATCAATCCTTAAGCTTTTCTTCTGAGCTCTATTTCATTCCCTAAGTCATCTCACTGAATGTTGTGGCTTTAAATAGCATTGATACGTTGACATCTCTGAAGAGTATATTTTATTCAGCACTGGTATTTTCCTTGAATTTCAGCCCCAGATAGCCAACTGCCATATCTCCAGTGGGCTATCTAATAGGCATGTCAAAATTCACAAGACCAAAACATATTGTAACTGTTTGGCCCCCTTGATTTTGCATTTAGTGGTCCATCTGCTCATTTTTCAGATTATGACATGGCTAGCTTCCTTATGTTATTGAGGCCTGTTTCTCCTTTACTTTTCTTCGTAGTAACATTATTCTTTACCACTATCTTACCAATACTTTACATTATACTTGACATATATAACATATATATATAGTTAATTTTCCAGGTGCTGAGAGCTGTTAATCTCCTATTTTTAGAATCAATTTCTTCTCATATTTACTGTGGTTTTTGCTTTATTTGATTCATTACAACTGACAAATTATGTCATCATTGAATTTCTTTTTTAGAGACAGGGTCTCTCCCTGATGCCTTCTTGATTTTCTGTCTCAAATAATTTAGAAGGTATGTGGTATGCTTATATTTCTATCTTTGTTTAATTTTAAATTTTAAATAGTATTACTTTTTTTTCTTTTTATCAACTTCAGAAACATTATTCTTTCCTAGGAACTGTGAAAGATGAAGGAACTACCTCACTTCCGTGACATCTAACATTCCCCTCCCCAAATTTATTATACTTCATGATTTCTGTGGTTCCAATTTATCATAGTTATAATGTGTTAGATTTTCCTTCATGCTTTATAACATGTATATCAGTGTGATTTTTAAAAATCATTCTCGTTCTTTAGCTTTTAATTGTACTGTAGTCTTTTCAGACTCAGTTCACATCTTCAGTCTTCTGTGTTCCTAATTCGTTTTTGAGAAAAAGCTTTTTTTCTGATAGGAAAGGAATTTGTGTTAATTTTAGAAAATTTGAAAAAAAACACAAGCACAAAGAAAAAAAATCACTTGTAATCTCCCTTTGAGAATTATATTAGTAACTTAGTATATGTTCTTTGCCTTTTCTCCCTGTGTATGAATGTTATCACTTTGCAACACTTGATTCTTTACATACACAGTTAACTACTTTTCCCCTTCACTTACTATGTACTGAACATTTTCCTATGACATTAAAGTCAAGCTGTAGAATACATAATAATTTACATGGTATTCTGTATAGACATGTTATAATTTAATTAATCCTACATTGTTAGTTTATTTACAGCTTGCTCTCCTAAAGTGTGCTTTGATGAATGTGGATGAGTTATATCCCCTAGGTTTTTTTTTTTTTTTTTCTCCTTTGGATAAAGTTCTAAGAAGTGGAAGAATTCTGAGGCTTAATAGGGTGATTAAGAGCATGGACTTTGTAGTCTGACTGCCTTGGGTTCAAATCCCTACTTAGGTGCATACATTTAGGCAATTTATCTTTTTCTTTTTCTTTCTTTCCTGCCTTCCCTCCCTCCTTTCTTTTCTTTTCTTTTCTTTTTTCTTTTCTTTCTCTTACCTTTTTCCTGCACTATGTTTCAATTTCTTAATTTGTATACTTCAAAGATAATGGTTTATACATAGAAAACATTGTCTGGGACTCAAACACAGTCATTGTCATGGTTGTCATCATTTTTATTTAGAGGATGTACATATTTGAAATGTTTTTGCTATCGATTAGATTTTTCTCCTGAAAAGTTACATTAATTTGCATTCCTATCAGCAAAATATAAGAGTAACATTTTACCAGCTCTGGCCGACAACTGCTGTTATAATTGTAAAATGTAGTTATTTTTGAGGGTGTGGGACTAATTTTATAGGGGCAATATATATGTTTGTCTTAATCTCCAATTTTTGATTATTGATTTTGGATTTTTTTTTACCATTTTCATATGGGGGTATTTATATTTAAGTGCTCTTTAAATATTCAAATTTTAGTTAGCGCAATGTATTTTATGTTGCCTTTATTTTTTCTAGTTGGCTGTTTGCCTGTTAATTTGATTTTTAGTTGTTTTATGTATTTGTGTTTTGCCTTTGTGGAACATGTGTTAAAGGCAGTTGTTTTCCAAACACCGTGCTTTTTAAAAAAATTCATTCATCTATTTTTGATAATAAGTCTCTTATTTGTGATGGTATAAATAAATCTGTAATTATTAAGCACCTTCTCGTTGCCAGTATAGATCTAACTTTTAAAAAATAGAATTTTTATTGGAGAATAATTTTAGATTTATGGGAAAGTTGCAGAGATGGCACAGAGTTACTATATATGTTCTTTACTTAGTTTCCCTTGTTGCTGACGTCCTGCATTACCATGATATGTTTGTCACAACTAAGATGTCAAAGGTACACTACTATTAACTAAATGCCACATTTTATTTGGATTTCATTAGTTTTCCCACAAATTATTCTTTCTCTGATCCAAGATCCCGCATTACATTTAGTTGTCATGTTCATTACTGTCCTCTAGTCTGTGAGTTTCTCAGTCTTTCCTTGTTTTTTATTATATTGAGTTTGGAGGAATATTCATTTGTTTCATTGAACCTTCCTCTGATGTTTTCCTGCTGGTTAGACTGGGGTTATATCAATATGGACTCGTGTATATTTTACCACTTAATTTTTTTTTAGCGTTGACCTGTCATTCTCTGTGACCCTTTGACATGATCCATACCGCCTCCTTCCTCTGCCTCTAAAAAAAAAAAAAAAAAAACGCTTCTTTTTTTCTTGTGTAAGATACTCCAGGTTTGTCTTCTGTATTCTCTTACCCAGCTCTAGAATCAGCCATTTCTCCAGCTACTCTTGTTTTCTTTTATTGGAGAATGGTATGTAGAAACAAATATCAGGGTGCTGGGTGTGCTTTCGGATACTGGTGTATCAGTGCTTCTGCTCCCCCTCAGTGGACAGTTAGAAAATACTGTTTGTGCACACACCCCCCTATAATTATTTATTTATATTATATTACGGTAAACACAAGTTTGCACTGATGTCTCTGATTCTAATCCAGTACCACAGGGTTCCTTCTGCTCTCCCTCCCCTTGCTTAACTCTAACGTCCCCCTCCAAAAGTGAGAAACCTGGTTCCCACATCTACCAGCCATTTACTTATTTGTTCAACCCCAGTATGTATGTAACATAGGAATTAACCCATATTCCTTGTGAAAAACAACTTTACCAAATCAAGCAGTGTTTATGTATAGCTCTGCTTGCCTTTAGCCTTACAGTTTCCAGTGCAATCACCATCTTCTAAAGTTACTTATATCAGTTCCTTTTCCACTCACACCTCTGCTTTTGATGGTATGCTTAAAAGTGTATCTTATTCCAAAGATGTACTTTATATATGTATAAAAAAAGATGCATGTATGATATATGTAATGAATATATAATGTAACAATATGATTGCATGCAATATTATATAATGCATGCTACATATAATATGTGTATATGGTATTTTATTTATTTTTAGGTATTTTATTGCTTTATTTTTACCTTGAAGTCTTTTTTTGTTTTAAAGACAGAGTCTTGCTATGTTGCCCAGGCTGGAATTGCTATTCACAGACATGATCCATCATAGCACACTGTGGCCTTGAACTCCAGGCCTCAAGTCTTCCTCCAGGTAGCTGAGGTTACAGACGTGTGCCACTGCACCCAGCTATTTTTACCTTAAATTCTTAAATATGTATATCTAAGGTTCATTTTGACACTTAGTGTAAAGTGTTAATAGAACTTTTTATTTTAAACAAAAGTGGCTTATGAAAAGTCTTGATTTTTCTCTGTTGTTGAATATACCACCTTTGTTATATTTTAAAATCTTATATCTACTAGAAGTTTTCTGTGCTTTTCTTACTCTGTTTTGTTTTCTATTCTTATTCAAGTTCCAAACATTACATAACTTTGTGATAATTTCAGCATCTGGTAGATTATTCCTGGTTTTGCCTATTCATGTTCTTTTAATTTGTTAATACTTTTCTTTATTCCAGGAACATTTTAGTGGACAAACCAAATGACCAATCTTCAAGATGGTCTTCAGAGAGCAATTATCCTCCCCAGGTAAGATTACATGTATCCCTTAATGCTGTTTAGAAGTGAACATTTAAATAAACACTCAATTGATACTAGTTATCTGGAATCTCCTAATAGTTTATTCTCTTTTTGAGATTGTGAGGTAAATTTTTATTTTCTCTATTTTTGCTTGTTTATTAAATTTTGGAAGAATTTTTATCTCATAGGCAAATGCAGTGTGAGATTTGATGAAACATGAACTTTTACTTCTGTCTACCAGAACAGTTACACTCAAGTTATTGTGTAAATGTTTAAGGAAATGTTAGTAAATTGAACTTTGACTCATGACTATCTTATGGGGAAAATAAACTTAAATAGTTTGTTATTTTATTAAAATATTATATTTCATATTAAAATAATATTGTAAATGACATCAGGACCATGTGCTAAATTTCTTTTCCCTGGCAAGTAGTGTCTATGGTTGACTGAATTTAAAATCATTCTTTCAGTTATATGCTTTCAGCATTAGTATTTATAATGTACTAGGCACACGTATGTCCATATCCTTGAAGAAATTAATGCTCTGCTAGGTAAAGCAAATGGGTAAATAATACTTTATTTTTTAATTGTAGCGTAATTCATGGAGATATATATATATATATGTGTATTTTTTTTTTCTCTTTGCCTACCTATTTGGATCCCCTGGTGTTTACATGTTTTATTGCAAAATACATGTCTAAAGAATATTTATTTATAATTTTTGGGAGCCACAGTGGCTCAGGCCTGTTGTCCTGGTGTATAAGGAGGTGAGGCTAGGCGTTCTAGGCGTTCGAGGCCAGCCTGGGCAACATAGAAACCTTTGATCTATGCTTAAAAAAAAAAAAAAAAGTGGCCAGGCGCGGTGGCTTATGTGTGTAATCCCAGCACTTTGGGAGGCCGAGGCGGGCAGATCACAAGGTCAAGAAGTCGAGACCATCCTGACCAACATGGTAAAACCTTGTCTCTACTAAAAATACAAAAATTAGCTGGGTGTGGTGGTGCATGCCTATAGTCCTAGCTACTCAGGAGGATGAGGCAACAGAATCGTTTGAACCCAGGAGGCGGAGGTTGCAGTGAGCCAAAATTGCACAACTGCACTCTAGTCTGGCAACAGAGTGAGACTCTGTCTCAAAAAAAAAAAAAAGTGTATATATATATATTTATAATTTTTATATGTAATGTAAAGAATAAAACAAATAACTTGTTTATTCATCAGCCATGTTTAGAAATGGAAAGTGATTGCTATCTTTTGAAGCCTCCTATGAGCCCCCTCTTATCTGTTTCCTCTAACCCCTCCCCTGTAACTATAATTGATGTTTTATTAAGCATTTTAAAATAATATTCCATAGATATAGCATATAAATATTTTATGATTTAGTTTTTTTGGCTTTGACTTTGTAAAAGTAAAATATAAATTCAGTCGTTTATAAATTTTCTGTGACTTGCTGTTTTTTAACATGATTTTTATTAATGTTGTTATATATAATTGCAGTTTGTTCATTTTCACTACCATATAGTATTCCTGTGTGTAAATATGCCAAAATGTATTTATCCATTTTGCTGTTGATAAGCATTTAGGCTTTTTACAGTTCTGCTGTGAACGTTCTTATATGTTGTCTCCTGGTACACATGTGTAAGAGTTTCTTTAAGGTCTATATACTTTGGAGTAGAATTGTTGAGTCATAAGGTGGGTATATGTGTATTGAACTTTATCAGGTAGTAGAAGACTGTTTTACAAAGTAGTTGTAGAATTTATCCTCTCGCTGGGTGTGTATGGAAGTTGCTGTTGGATCACGTTCTCCTCATCACTTCTATGGGTGGTTTTTATATTTTGCCAGTCTGGTGGATTTTTCATTTTAACTCATTGTGGTTATAATTTGCTTTTTCCTATTTACATTAAAATCTCTTTGCATATGTTAATGGACTTACACTGTGTTTTTAATCATGCTTTTCTTGATTCACTTTTTCATTTTACTTATTAATAATTTTAGTGCTTGAGTTGTGGTACGTTAGTGTTTTTCATTTAGTTATTTTTATTTCTTGTTAATGATCTTTTTTCTGCAAAAAAGAAAATTCAGTGATCATAACTGAAACTATGATAATCTTATTATTTTGAAATTGTCTTTATTTGTTATTGGACTATATTTTGAAGGTAGTAGAATTTAATGCTTTTCTTAACTTTTTTGTTTGCTTATTCATTCATTAAAAAATTATTTAGTAAGCATCTATGAAGTGCCAAACTTCAGGTATTTGAATACTGTAGGGAATTCAATATTGTCTCCTCTTGATGAACCACGGGTATTGCATCAGATACCCTGAAACATTTCAATGTGATAAGTCCTATAGTAGAAGTTATCTGAAGTTTTTATAATGAAGAAGGACTAATTTGTCATGAAAATAAATACCATGCAATCTAGTTTTCTTCATTGTAGTTATTACTCAAATATAACTGGGGTTTTCCATGGCCAATCTCAAGGGACAACATTTTTACCAGAAAAGAAAAAATAAAATTGAAAGCAATTTCAGTGTTTACTTAGTCTTATAAGAAACTGCCATGTTGGATGGAATGGGTATAGTTTTATTTTATTTTATTTTACTTTTGAGATTGAGTTTTGCTCTTGTCACCCAGGCTGGAGTGCAGTGGCATAATCTTGGCTCACTGCAGCCTCCACCTCCTAGGCTCAAGTGATTCTCCTGCCTCAGCTTCCCGAGTGGCTGGGATTATAGGCGTGCACCACCACGCCCAGCTAATTTTTGTATTTTTAATAGATACTGGGTTTCGCCATGTTGGCCAGGCTGGCCTCGAATTCCTGACCTCAGGTGATCTGCCCACCTTGGCTACCCAAAGTGCTGGGCTTACAAGCGTGAACCATAGTTTTCATGTATCGATATGTAGCAGAGTCTTGCATTTCTAGTGGTTGTAAGCTATAATATTTCTTTCCCACTCTTGATCTGAAGGTTCCCAAATGCACTGAATAAAAAACAGATATATCCACGGCCGGATGTGGTGGCTCATGCCTATAATCCTAGCACTTTGGGAGGCCAAGACGGGTGGATCACTTGTGCTCAGGAGTTTGAGATCAGTCTGGGCAACCTGGTGAAACCCTGTCTCTACAAAAAATACAAAAATTAGTCAGGCATGGTGGCATGTGCCTGTAGTCCCAGATACTCAGGAGGCTGAGTTGGAAGGATTGCTTGAGCCCAGGAGGTCAAGGCTGCAGGTAGTCGAGATCATGCCACTGCACTCCAGCCTGGGTGACAGAGTGAGACTCTGTCTCAAAAAAAAAAAAAATACACGCACGTGCGCATACACACACATATGTGCACGTGCACAAATGAAAACTGGGGCTTTTTTTTTTTTTTTTGGAAGCTGGAACCTTAAAGCAATTCATTCTCAGGATAAGAATTAAACAGAATAAATCCCCACCTCCTGGGGACTGTGGAAAGAATTGCATTGACACTCAGTAGAGGAACGGAAAATGAGGAAGAAAACTCATCTCGGAGAGGTTATAGCTGTGTATTGGTTTTTGTTCACATTTGGTAGTTGGATTCTCAATACTTGACTATCCATTAAACCTTGTGGTATGATTTGAGTTTAAAGCGATTGAGGATGAATGGTACGTTTAAGGTTCTCAGCAGAAGCAAATGCAGATCTTCTCTGAAAATAGTTACCTTTATTTCTAGGCCTCAGGTATTATCCACAAATCATTATTAAAGGAAATTGAGCAGTACACACTCAAAGATAACTAAGTATAGCAGAAAATAAGATACTTTAAGAACTAGCAGAACAAATAGCAGAACCCCCTTCCAGAATTTTAGATATTAGAATTAAAACTACTGAAAGATACTGGAATTAAGTTAACTACTTGTATTTAAAGAAATAAAAGAAATTGGACACTAAAAAGTGATGTGGCAGATTTGAAAAAGAACCAAATAAAACTTCTATAAATGAAAAATATAATTAAAAAAAGTCAGTTTTGACAAGACTTTCCACTAAGAACAGATAGAAAAGATGAAATAGAAGTGAAATTTTAAAAAATATTTTTGAAGGTAGTATATTGAAAATAGGGTAGTAAAGAGTGATGGAAATGAATAAGACCTACTATTTGACAGCACAACAGGCTGACTGTAGTCGATAATAACTATATATATTTTAAATAACGTAAGGAGTGTAATTGAATTGTTTGTAACTCAAAGGATAAACGTTTGAGGTTAGGGGTAACCGCATTCTCCATGATGGCTTATTTCACATTACATCCCTATATCAAAACATCTCATGTACCCCGTAAATATGTACACCTACTGTGTGCCCACAACATTTTTTTTCAAAAGTGATGGGGCCAAGATTTAGAAGACTATGGGAATCCAAAAAGAACTGCTTGGGGCCACTTTTCTGCTGAGTATCCTAAACAAGTTCTAAGAGATTAAGAAGCCGAAATAGCACCTTTGGCAAACACTTGGGGCCAGGGAGATACAGGTTAGAAGCTAGAACCTGGGGTGTGGTAGGGTGGTAGACTCCTCTTGCTCTGGGTTAAGTCCCTGAAGCTATGTCTGAAGAGAAAGTGTGAACCAGAAATAGTCGGGCCCTCACAGGGGGTGAAGCCCAGTTTCGTATCATCCCAGTACTTGAAACTGGATTAAAATAATCAAGAATTGATAGTATCCCTAGCAATAGACCTACAGTAGAAGATATACTTTTTTAGGAAGCTGATACCCTAGGCATCTAGTTACTTTTAGTTTTTCATATTTGGTGTCTATCAAAATAGAAGGATTTACAGATAATAGGAGTTTTAGATATAAGTCTTAAAATAAGTCCCCTTGCTATGTGAAAGGAAAAAAGGAGATGAAAATTAATATTGAAAATTTTGGCAAAGAACCGAAAACTGTATAAAAAAGGACTAAAATAGAAATGAAAAAGACAATACCCAAAATGCAGATTGCATTTATGAGAATAAAATAAGAATGTATGCGAAAGCATTTTCTGCAATTTAGTATACTTCATGTAAAGT